GAATTTAAACGTTTACAAAACGTCTAAACTTTGCACACCACGCAAGTGAGCAACTTGAGTTAAACAATGTAATGTGCTAAATCACAACTTGCACACGTTTGGTGTGCAAATATTGCACACTTGTTTTACCAGTGTACACTGTACAAGGGAGTTGAGATTGAGACCCCCTACCCCCTCGTCATGAACTTACAATCCACGTTAAAAAGGTTTTCGGAGTTCAAGACACGGTCGTTGGATGTCAATGGCGTCTAAGGTCCAAGATTGGGTCTTAAAATTCAAGAAACTTTCTTTTTTACCGTGTATATTTTGTAATTTACTATTTACAAAATGTGTTGTAAATTTGCGGAAATTGCGCAAGCCCGCCAAAGTCTCCTGTGTTCCGAGGACACGGTACTGGCGCTATGAAGCAGGGTTGCAGCGCGCAGAGGGCCGCCGGTGCAATCCCGGCTCAAGTGGAGTGGAAGTGAGACGGCATCAGTCAAAGGCAATCGCGCATAGGACCGCTGGGGGCCGTCCCGTGATCCACCTGGCTGGGCCTTTGTTTGTAACGAGGTGGAGCGGGCTCTCACACCGTAGCGACCCCCACCGCGCCCCCGGCCCCCGAGAGCCCTGCCCAGGCTCATTGGTATTCCGGTCGCCACCACCCAATCGTCACCACTTCCCGTCGCTTCCGCTGCCCCTTACCCCCTCTCCAGTCTCAGCGGGGCGCGGCACGGGCTGCCCTCCTCTCTGTCTGTCTGTCTGTCTGTCTGTCTCTCTCTCTCTCTCTCTCCCTCGGCACTTCGCAGCCCGCAGTTTCCCTTTAGTTTATTTGACCGAGTCTTTTGTACGTCATCATCATTTGCAAATTGGGTGGGGCGGGCGGGAGAGTGAGAGAGAGAGGCACTAAGAGAGGGAGAGGAAGAGGGAGGAAGAGAGAGAGGGAGGAAGAGAGAGAGAGAGAGAGAGAGAGAGGAGAGAGAGAGAGAGAGTAGGGGGTGTAGTAATGTCCCTGTCACGACAGAGCCGGCCCACCTCCACACACAGCACACCTGGCCCTACCCAGACAGCTGTCGTGTGTCGTGCCAATACCCCTCGTCCGCAAATCCTGGGGCGTAATTGTGGGAAAGCAGCGCGAACTTTCCGCGTCTCTCTCCTTTAATGAGCAACAGCAGGAGCAACAGCAGCCGGGCTGACGGGGAGTATCGACAGCGGCAGGAGCTACTCACCGCTGGGGCTGGGCTCGCCCACGGACTAGTGCGGCTTCTCGGCGACGACCCGGGCTACCCGGGCGCACTCCGCTCCAGGGGCCGCATCTGTAACAGACAAACAGAAAGCGTCAGTGTGGCTTCGCTTAGGACCCTTTGAAAGCACGACGGCGGAAACCCGAGTGAGTGAATGAATATGCCGCACGCAAGTGTGTGAATTTCAGAAACAAAATTCGCACGTTTACCCTCTGAAGCGTATGCATGGGCATTCACCCATCTGCAAGTGTGCAACATTCGCAGTCGCTAGTTTTAAAATATTAAACAGGTGTTAAACAAATGTTCAGAGGGCCTACATGAGCACCGAGAACACACGACACGAACTTTCATAGTGCAAGGTCGGAGTCGGGTACGTGGGCCTTTTGAAAAGAAATTATAATTAAAACACTGCCAAAAAATCTTTTGAAAAAGCGCAAAAAAGAAAACAATAGAAAGTTCGCACGTTCGCGTTCCAAGACGTGCAAGAGATGGGAGGATGGGGGAGAGTAGGGGCGAAGAGGGCCCTTCGCGACTTGCAAGAGGGCGCCGCCCTTACGCAGCCTCCCCCCTTTTCAGACTCACCGCAAAATCTGGATTAATACAACGGAACGGGCCGAAACCTACGGGACGATAACTTTTTAATATTGGCCACGGCACGCCGTTCGT